GTCCAGACTTGTGTCAGTTTCTGTGCTTTGACAGGGCACCAGCTGAGACTGCCACGCTAGTGGTGCTTTTTGGCCTGGGAATCTCCTGGTCTGTGGGCAGTGAAAACTTGTTTGGAAATGTGGTGAGCACTCACCGTCTGTGCCACTCTCACTGGGAACTGCGCTCCAGAGCTGTTCTTATTTGGCCATCTTGCATCCCCCCCCACAGTATATTGTTATTATCGACTGTAGTTACCCTGCTGTACAGTAGATCTCAAAACTTATTCCTCCTGTCTAACTGCAACTTTTACCATTTGACCAATAACTCCCCATTTCCTCCCCCACAACTCCCAGTCTCTGGTAACCATCATTCTACTCTTCTATGAGTCCCTTGTTTTTAGATTCCATGTGTAAATGGGATCATGCTGTATCTGGCTTTCTGTGCTGGCTTATTTAACTTAACACAATATCTTCTAGGTTCATCCACATTGTCACAAATGACAGAATTTTCTTATTTTTTAAGGCTGAATAGTATTCCATTGTGTGTATATACCATATTTTCTTTATTCATTCACTGATGAACATTTAAGTCATTTCCATATCTTGGCTATTGTGTATAGTGATACAGTGAACATAGGAGTGCAAATATCTGTTTGATATACTAATTTCAGTTCCTTAGGGTATGTACCAAGAAGTAGAATTGCTATGGTAGTTCTATTTTTAGTTTTTTTGAGGAAGTTCCATACAATTTTCCATAACAACTGTACCATTTATATTCCCATCAACAATGTACAAGGGTTCTCTTTTCTCTGCATCCTCACCAACACTTATCTTTCATCTTTTTGATAATAGCCATTCTAACAGATGTCAGGAGGTACTGTTTTTTAATGCATGCGGTATACCACGTACTTTTTTTGTTTGTTGAGATGGAGTCTCGCCCTGTCACCCAGGCTGGAGTGCAGTGGTGTGATCTCGGCTCACTGGACCCTCCACTTCCCAGATTCCAGTGATTCTCCTGCCTCAGCCTCCCATGTAGCTGGGATTACAGGTGCAATCACGCCTGGTAAATTTTGTATTTTTATAGAGACAGAGTTTCACTATGTTGGCCAGGCTGGTCTCTAACTCCTGACCTCATGATCCACCTGCCTCAGCCTCCCAAAGTGCTGGGATTACAGGTGTGAGCCACCACGCCCGGCCACCACATACTTGAATCTTTATCCCCTAGAAGATAGGTGCAATCTTCAGTTTACAGATGAAGAAACTGAGAATCAGAGGTTGTGCCTTGCCCAACTTCCCACAGCTACTCATAATGATGGGTTTTGACCCTAAGTCTGTCTGATTCTATATGTTTGTGTAAGGAGACAATGAGAAAGAAGGCTATAATCCAGAATGTGGGACATTCTATAGGAGAAATGACCTAGTTTCTCCAAAAAATAAAGAAAAAGGAAGGAAGGCTTTTATAGAATACAAGAAAGAGACTTAAGAGTAGTGATGAGCTGGTAAATGTTTAACAACTGATTCTTTGAAAAAAGAAAGAATGCTGACTTCTACTTCTAGTATTTGCTGATTTTTGTGGTATAAATATTCCCACCATGACTGATTTCAGATTACCAGTGTGACCTCACTGAATGAAGAGTTGGGAAGACGTGCAGTGTTGCACTCAATTGTACGGTTATTTCTACTATACAGATAGAGTAGCTGTAAACAACCTCAAACACATAAATAATAGTCAACTATAGTAAAATAGTTAGGGAGTGATGTTTTCAGTGTTTATTACCTTGGCTTTGTGTTGTTTTGTTTTGTTTTGAGACAGACTCTATTGTCACACAGGCTGGTGTGCAGTGGTAGGTGCAACCTCTGCCTCCTGGGTTCAAGCAAGTCTCATGCTTCAGCCTCCCAAGTAGCTGAGATTACAGGCATGTGCCTCCATACCTGGCTAGTTTTTGTATTTTTTGTTTATAAAGATGTGGTTAATCTGGTCTCAAACTCCTAACCTCAGGTGATCTACCTGCCTCGGCCTCCCAAAGTACTGGGATTACAGGTGTGGACCACTGTGTCCGGCCTACCTTGGCTTTTAATGTAATTTATTTAATTTTAACCTTTTATAATTTAGTTTTTAAAAAATGACCTTGTTTAACAATTGGCTTGCAGAATTTCTGAAAACGTAATATTATTTGTGAGCTGGTTTGAGCCAGCTCATGCACACCCTACCCTATGGACCTTGTTTGGATCCTGATTTGAACAAACCAACTGTAAAAAGACATCATTTAGACAGTTTTGAAAATTTGAGTATGGATTGGGTTTCAGATGATATTTGATATTAAGGAATTGATAAGTATTTTAAGGGGGAATGATTACATGATTTTTTTTTTTTTTTGAGACAGGGTTTGCTCTGTCACCCAGGCTTGAGTGCAGTGGCACGATCTTGACTCATTATAGCCTTGACTTCCTGGGCTCAGGCAATTCTCTCACCTCAGCCTCCCTGGTATCTGGGACCACAAGTACTTACCATCACACCTGGCTATTTTTTTTTTTTTGGTACTTTTGTGTAGAGATGGGATTTCACCATGTTGCCCAGACTGGTCTGGAACTACTGGGCTCAAGCAATCTCCCCACCTTGGCCTCCCAGAGTACTGGGATTCTAGGCATGAGCCACTGTGCCTGAGCTACACGATTTTTTAAAAAACGTTCTTATTTGCTAGAGATGTAAACTGCAGAATTTATGGGTGAAATGACATGAGATGCCTGAGATTTCCTTTAAAATATTCCAGGATACAATATGTGTGGAGGTAAATAGCTGAAACAAGGTTGACAAAATGTTGACTGTTGTTGAAACTGGTGATGGTTACACAGGACTGTATTACGCTATTCTACTTTCAAGTATGTTTGAAAATTTCTGTAAGAGCTCAGAAAAAGAGGTAAGGCTAGAATGTGTTTTTAGTTTTGGCCCATATTTTGGAGGGCCATAAACAGAAAAGAATTTTCCATTATATTTTGTAAGTTACAGCTCCTGAACTGTTTTTACTTAGGAGCAGAGAAAGGCAGTAATTTGCCCGGGGCTGAGAGTAATCACTGGGAATGTCAAAGAGGGCTTTTTCTATAGGTAGAATAACAGGTCAATTTTTTTAATTTTTAAAATTTATTTATTTATTTTGAGACAGAGTCTTGCTCTTGTTGCCCAGGCTGGAGGGCAATGGCGCGATCTCAGCTCATTTCAACCTCTGCCTCCCAGGTTCAAGTGATTCTCCTGCCCCAGCCTCCCGAGTAGCTGGGATTGCAGGCATGTGCCACCATGCCCGACTAATTTTGTATTTTTTTTTAGTAGAGATGGAGTTTCTCTATGTTGGTCAGGCTGGTCTCGAACTCCAGACCTCAGGTAATCCACCCACCTCAGCCTCCCAAAGTGTTGGGATTACAGGCGTGACCCACTGTGCCCGGCCTAAAATTTATTTTCATTTTTATTTTTTTATAGTACTTTGAGTTGCTGTTTTAATAGGTCTGTTTTTTGAATAATGACTTTATTATTTTACATTAAAGTCATTAAAAATGCCATATCACAATTCAGATTTCCGTCTATCTTAAGCTTCTACATTTTAGGGACTAAATTAACTCCTAATTTCATTGGATTTATCTAGTACGTAATACTGGGCTTTCTGATTCTGTGTCCTTTGAGGTATCATGACAGGCCTAGAAGTAGATGTTAGATTACCTCATTCCATAACAATTATTCTTTGCATTGTACCTTTCTGCTTCCAGCTTAATTTGGAATTTTCTGTTAAATGACTGCAATGATTTTACTTGGGTTATTTTTAAAATCTAAAATGCTTAAATAAAAGATAACAGAATATAGTATCACATGACACTGGTTAGAATATTTTAAAAAAAGATAACGGAATATAAAATAAGCAGATTCAGGCAGCCAACACAGTTATTATAGAAACATTTTGAATTGTCTGGACTTCATTGATTTGTTATTGAATTCCTAGAACCTGATAATTAGCTTGAGGTATGTACTCTCAATATTTTATTATTGCTCAAGGATAAAAATAATACAGATTTCTTAAATATATAAGTACATATATATGTTCATATGTATACATATATACACACATTTACACATATGTATCTACTGATTGCTCATTGCTTCTAGCCATTCTAGAAGACTGAAATATATTGAATTGGGCTGGGTGTGATGACTTATGCATGTTAGCACTTTGGGAGACTGAGGCAGAAGAATCGTTTGAGCCCTGGAGTTCAAGACCAGACTGGGCAACATAGCAAGACCTTGTCTCTACAAAAAGAAAAATAAATTAGCTGAGTTTGGCGTCACATGCCTGTAGTGCCAGCTACTCTGGAGGGTGAGGTGGGAAGATTACTTGAGCCTAGAAGATCGAGGCTGCAGTGAGCTGTGATCATGCCACTGCATTTTAGCCTGGGTGACAGAGTGAGACCCTATCTTAAGAAAAAAATATATATATATAAGGAGAGAAAATTGGAATGTTTGAAATAGAGAAGGCTTTATTTTGAATTTTCAAAAGGTTTTAAAAATAGCATTATTTTCTTATTTCAAAAAAATGCATATTATATTTTGTTAATTAGGATTATACTGTATGTACTGTGTGTACATTTTGGGATCCTACTTTTCCCTACTTAATATACATTATGAGAATTCCCCATGTCATTAATTATTCTGAGAACAATTTTAGTTTCTGTATATTGTCATATATACCTGCAGGTCTAGATTTGAAAAACATACTGTATATATAACTTAATATGTGTAACTTTACCTCTGTTGTCAGAGGTTTAGATTATTTACGGTTTTTTACTGTTATTTGTAGACAACAACCTTGTCAAAAGGTTATTAAGCTTATGCTCTCTCTCTGTATATATACACATATTTACACATATTTCATTTAAAACTTGAGCATAGTTTAGTGATAAAAATAATGTTTAATAAATGTCATGTTGACTTGGGCTTTCAACTGCATCATTTGTTAATAGAAACCATTTTTTTCTCCTAGGGCATAAAACCAGCCAGCTTCAATAAAGTCACTGATCCTGAAGTGAAAGAAATCATTGAAGGATGTATTCGTCAAAACAAATCTGAAAGGTGGGTGCAATTGTAGCAAAATGACATAAGTGAAAGATGCATTTTTCTCTTATCTTGCATTCAGTCGTTTTCTGATCTTTCAGTCATGCCGAGTTTGACTTTTTTTTTTTGAGATGGAGTCTTGCCCTGGTACCCAGGCTGGAGTGCAGTGGCGCGATCTCGGCTCACCGCAACCTCCGCCTCCTGGGTTCAGGCAATTCTCCTGCCTCAGCCTCCTGAGTAGCTGGGATTACAGGCACACGCCACCATGCCCAGCTAATTTTTTGTATTTTTAGTAGAGACGGGGTTTCACCATGTTGACCAGGATGGTCTCGATCTCTTGACCTCGTGATCCACCCGCCTCGGCCTCCCAAAGTGCTGGGATTACAGGCTTGAGCCACCGCGCCCGGCCTGAGTTTGACTTCTGAGTAGAAGCCAAACCATACTGTCTAGATTGAAGTGTATTCAGTGCATGTTGTTTGCCATTTTAGACTTGAATATCATGTGCTGAATTTTTCTTGAACTGACGTTTGGGTTGTGTTTGTGTGTGTGTGTGTGTGTGTGTGTGTGTGTGTGTGCATTTTGATGTTTTCATCGCCTTCACCCATCAGCTTAACAGTCAGTAGGCCCTCACAGGTTAATTTTCTTCTAACCGTTGAGAGTGGACAGATTTTTAAAAATTTGATTATATATCCTCATGTCACTATAATGACAAAGCTAATATGGATAGAAGAAGTATGTATTCAAGAAATCGTATTCCACATTTATTTATCTCACAATTTGTGTTTGCCTTATGGACAACTCCCATTACTCTTAGCTTTTGCCTCCCTTTAGGTTTTATTTCTTATTTAATTTTTAATTTTTTTTTTTTTTGAGACAGAGTCTCGCTCTGTTACTCAGGCTGAAGTGCAGTGGTGCAACCTCAGCCCACTGCCACCTCTGCCTCCCAGGTTCCAGTGATTCTCCTGCCTCAGCCTCCCGAGTAGCTGGGATTGCAGGCACATGCCATCACACCTGGCTAATTTACACACACACACACACACACACACACACACACACACATATATATATAAAATATATTTTGAGACAGAGTTTCACTCTTGTTGCCCAGTCTGGATTGCAATGGCTTGATCTCAGCTCACTGCAACCTCCGCCTCCCAGGTTCAAGTGATTCTCCTGCCTCCCTCCTGAGTAGCTGGGATTGCAGGCATGTGCCACCATGCCCGGCTAATTTTGTATTTTTTTAAGTAGAGATGGAGTTTCTCCATGTTGGTTAGGCTGGTCTCAAACTCCTAACCTCAGGTGATCCACCCACCTCAGCCTCCCAAAGTGCTGGGATTACAGGCGTGAGCCACCATGCCCAGCCTGATTTTTATATTTTAATAGAGATGGGGTTTCACCATGTTGGCCAGGCTGGTCTCCAATTCGTGGCTTCAAGTGATCCGCCTGCCTCAGCCTCCCAAAGTGTTGGCATTACAGGCGTGAGCCACCATGCCTGGCCTGCCTCCCTTTAGTTTCAGCTTTAGTCAATTGCTGACTTTAAATTGCTGGGTTTGTCTTTTGATTTTTGCTTCCTTATTGATAATTATTAGTAAAGGTGATACATTCTTTGTAGAAATTTTCATGGGCTTATTGGCCATTTGTATATCTTTGCAGAAATATCTATTCAACTCTTTTGCCCACTTTTAATTGGCTTGTTTGGTTTTTTTGTTGTTGAGATAGGAGTTTAGGCATGCTTTTAAAAATGAGGTTAAAAATACTATGTAGAAGTAGCTCTTTTAGTTCAGATTCTGATTGTTTGTACACCCTTTAAATATGTTCTATTACCAAAGAACGTTGGAATACTGAAAAGGATTCATAGCATATTAGTATATTAGAAAAAGCACAGGCTTCAACATCAGACTTAAAGTTAAATCTGGACTCACACTTAACCCGTGTGATCTTGAGCAAGTTAGTTGCATAAAACAGGTATTATTTTAATGACTGAAAGGATAATAGGCTGAGCATGGTGGCTTACACCTGTAATCCTAGCACTTTGGGAGGCCAAGGCAGGAGGATCACTTGGGGCCAGGAGTTCAGTTCAAGAGCAGCCTGGGAAGCAAAGTGAGACACTTGTCTCTACAAAAGATTAAAAACAAAAAAATTAGCCAGGTGTAGTGGCACATACCTGTAGTCCCAGCCCCTAGGGAGGCTGAAGTGGGAGGATTTCTTGAGCCCAGGAGTTGGAGGCTGCAGTGAGCTATGATCATGTCACTGTACTTTAGCCTGAACGACAGAGTGAGACACTGTCTTAAAAACAAACTGGCTGGGCACAGTGGCTCTTGCCTATAATCCCAGCACTTTAGGAGGCTGAGGCAGTTGGATAACTTGAGGTCAGGAGTTTGAGACTAGCCTGGACAACATGATGAAACCCCATCTCTATAAGAAATACAAAAAATAGTTGGGCATGATAGTGGGTACCTGTGACTCCAGCTAATCGGGGGGCTGAGGCAGGAAAATTGCTTGAACCTGGGAGGTAGAGGTTGCAGTGAGCGAGATGGTGCCACTGCACTCCAGCCTGGGCAACAGAGTGAGACTCCATCTCAAGACAAGCAAGCAGACAAGCAAACAAATAAACTAAAATAATTTTACTGTAAATAATAAAAATTTTATAGTAAAAATTTACTATAAATAATACAGTAAAAATTTTTATTGGGAAGCAGAGGGCTTTACTTGGTTGTGCCTCCTTAAACACATCTTGCTTTAGTCTTAAAAGTAATTCATTTGGGCCGGGCGCGGTGGCTCACGCCTGTAATCCCAACACTTTGGGAGGCTGAGGTGGGTGGATCACGAGATCAAGAGATCGAAACCATCCTGGCCAACATGGTGAAACCCTGTCTCCACTAAAAATTACAAAAATTAGCTGGGCATGGTGGCATGCGCCTGTAGTCCCAGCTACTAGGAGGCTGAGGCAGGAGAATTGCTTGAACCCAGGAGGCGGAGATTGCAGTGAGCCGAGATTGCGCCACTGTACTCCAGCCTGGCGCCTGGCAACAGAGCAAGACTCTGTCTCAAAAAGTAATTAATTTGAGCAAGCTTTTTCTTTTTTTTTTTTACGTCAACTTTGTATGGAATGATGGTTTATTCTATTTATGACACTGTCTTAGTTAAGTATTTGTCATTTGGTCACTAAAAATGCAGGGGGTTGAAAATCCTCAACTTAGAAGATACCATGCTGTCTATATACTTTTTCTGTTTAAGTAGTATAGGAAGATGTCTCCGTAGACTATGTAGTACATCAGTTTCAGTTCTCCCTGGCTTGTAATACAGAGAATTTAAATATTATGTATCTGTTTTAAAAGTTACTAAAATAAATTAACTTACCCAGCTTGTAAACAAATTTTTGAAGCTATGTCCTTTATTTCTCTTCAGAGATTGTTAATTCCTAATATTAGGCTAGGGTTGTATCCATTCTATGTATACTCTGGCCTAAAACCAGAGTTAAATACAAAAACCACTGGACTTTCCTGAACCACATTAGCTTCACCCATGGCATTCTGTAAAGAGTAAAGTACACTGACTAGATTATTATTAATGGAAACAGTGACTTCTATTTATAACATTTGTAAAAAGAGTTTGAATTTTTAATTTACTTTAGAGTTTATAAATCTATAAGAGTTTTTGGTTCCCTTTGCTAAGAATCTACTGTTTGACTCTGAATAACTTAAGCCAGTGGCTTAGGGAAATTTGCCTAACATATACAAAACTACTTCTCCAATTCTCATTAGGCATAATTTTATGTATGTTAAACTTTGTTATTTAGATGTATTACTGGTAATAATTCTTTTTTTTTTTTTTTGAGATGGAGTTTCGCTCTTGTTACCCAGGCTGGAGTACAATGGTGCGATCTTGGCTCACCTCAACCTCCACCTCCTGGGTTCAAGCAATTCTCCTGCCTTAGCCTCCCGAGTAGCTGGGACTACAGGCGTGCACCACCATGCCCAGCTAATTTTTGTATTTTTAGTAGAGACAGGGTTTCACCATGTTGACCAGGATGGTCTCGATCTCTTGACCTCGTGATCCACCCACCTCGGCCTCCCAAAGTGCTGGGATTATAGACGGGAGCCATAATTCATTTTTAATTGAAGTCATTCCATATGCATGTTAGTTGCGATTTCTTTGCATCCTTGATAAGTTGGATATAAGATTTGTTGTTGTTTTGCTTCCACAGGATCTGTTAAAGAAAGAGATTTGGTTTTTATTTATTTATTTATTTATTTATTTATATTTATTATTATTTTTTTGAGACAGAGTCTCGCTCCGTCGCCAGGCGCCAGGCTGGAGTGCAGGGGCGCGATCTCGGCTCACTGCAAACTCTGCCTCCTGGGTTCAAGCAATTCTCTTGCCTCAGCCTCCCGAGTAGCTGGGACTACAGGCCCACACCCAGCTAACTTTTGTATTTTTAGTAGAGATGGGGTTTCACCATGTTGGCCAGGATGGTCTCGATCTCTTGACCTTGTGATCTGCCTGCCTTGGCCTCCCAAAGTGCTGGGAGATTCGGTTTTTATAACAAGGCAGATTAATGATAAAATTGATAGAAAACATAAAATAAGTTTTTTTGCTTTCATACAATTTTTAGTAAAGGATCTACATCTTGCTATGATTGGAAGAACTGATAATGAGTTATATGTTTTGTTTTTTAGGTTGTCTATCAGGGACCTATTAAACCACGCATTTTTTGCTGAGGATACAGGACTGAGGGTGGAGTTAGCAGAAGAAGATGATTGCTCAAATTCATCCTTGGCTTTAAGACTCTGGGTTGAAGACCCTAAAAAATTGAAAGGCAAACACAAGGACAATGAAGCTCTTGAATTTAGTTTCAATTTAGAAACAGATACACCTGAGGAAGTAGCATATGAAATGGTAAGTTAATCATACCACTATTCCCCTCACCTCTTATTATATCAGGGTTGATTCCTTTCTCCTTCTTATTGCTTTCTTTCCTCTCATTTTCTTTAAATTGTTATGTTGTTGTGAACTATGTCGCCGTGACACAGTATATTAAATTTGTATGTACAGTGTAAAGAATAATAAAGCTCTACATTTATTAAGAAATAGAACATTACCACTACCTTAGAAGCCACCTAAGTGTCTCTCTCATTTGCATTTCCCTCCCTCATCACCATGAGTAATATCTACCCAGACTTTTTTATTTTTTGAGACAGAGTCTCGCTCTGTTACCCAGGTTGGAGTATAGTGGCACAATCTTGGCTCACTGCACCCTCTGCCTCCCAGGTTCAAGCGATTCTCCTGTCTCAGTCTCTCAAGTTGCTGGGATTACAGGTGCCTACCACCATGCCTGGTTAATTTTTATACTTTTATTAAAGATGGGGTTTCATCATGTTAGCCAGGCTGGTCTCGAACTGTTGACCGCAAGTGATCCGCCTGCCTCGGCTTCCCAAAGTGCTGGGATTACAGACGTGAGCCATTGCGTCCGACCCTCTACCCAGACTTTTGTGTTACTCATTTCTTTGTTTTTCATCATAGTTAACCTAAGTAATATATTGTTTTGTTTCGAAAACCAAACGGCAAGCACGCACCTAGCTGGTTATTGGAAAGGGCAGTATTGAGACAATTAGTTGAAGAAGCCCAGGAGAGGATAAGCTGAAGAGAATTTCTCAGTCACAGTGAGTCTGGCTTCAGTTTCCCTAAGAGTTTACAAGAGCTGCTTCTCGGGAAGTCAGAGGGTAAGGTTCTGAATGGGGCCAGGAAAATACACCCACGTCTCAGCACAGTCAGGGCACCGGCAGGGCTATTGTGCAGACCAGAAATTAGTTGTCTGGTTACCACATGGTTTGATGGGGAGTGGGTCGCTCTGACTCTTCGCTTCTAATCTCTCTGTGACCAGCCCCCACCCTCAATAGTAGATCACAGCAGGCAACTTCTGTGGCGGTGAAATGCATGTCCACACCTGCTCCAGGCAGCTGCAGTGCTGGTGGGAGGGTATGCAGGAGCTGGGGCAGCACATACTCAAAACCAGCCAAGTACAGCCCGTCTGAGCCAGACTCACCTGAGCATTCTGGCCTCAGGTTAAAAAGTAGGATGGAGCAATGACAGTGGGGACTTTGAAATGATAGTCTTTAACATGTCCTTCTGATCATACTGTTCTAATCTGGAATGATTACTTTGGACATCCGGTACACAAGTATCACCCTGGCATTTCCCTTTACCATCTTCCTAGACTTCTCTTTGCTTCACTCCTGTATTTAATTTTGGGTTTCCTAAATCCCATGTCTTTCTCTTTCTTGGCGTATCCTTTTCACTGACAGACTTCCTCTGCTAGCTTCTTGTGAAAGAATACATGGGAGTTAAATTCTCTGACATTTACATGCATAAAAACACCTTTTTCAGCCACATGCGGTGGCTCATGCCTGTAATCCCAGCACTTTGGGAGGCCGAGGCGGGTGGATCATGAGGTCATGAGATGGAGACCATCCTGGCCAACATGGTGAAACCCCGTCACTACCAAAAATACAAAAATTAGCCGGGTGTGGTGGCACACACTTGTACTCCCAGGTACTTGGGAGGCTGAGGCAGGAGAATTGCTTGAGCCTGGGAGGCGGAGCGGAGGTTGCAGTGAGCCGAGATCGCTCCACTGCACTCCAGCCAGGCAACAGAGTGAGGCTCCATCTCAAAAAACAAACAAACAAAAAGAAACATTTTTTTCTATATTCATATTTAGTCAGTCATTAAAGGCATTTTATGTTGGCATTTTTTTTTTTTTTTAATTTGGAGTTATTGCTCCAGTCTCTACTAGCTTTCAGTGTTGCTGTTAGGTCCAGAGTTGTTATGATTACTGATCTTTTGCATATGACCCATTGTTTTCCTCTCTGGAAGCTTGTAATATCTTCTCTTCTTAGTGTTCTAAAATTGCAGTGATGTATCTTGATTTCGGCTATCTTCAACCATTGTTTTGGATACTCAGTGGACCCTTTCCATCCATCAGCCCATATCCTTTAGTTTCTGGGAAATTACTTGAAGTATTTTGTTAATGATTTCTTTTTTTTTCCCCTATTCATTTATTTTATTGCATTTTAGGTTTTGGGGTACATGTGAAGAACATGCAAAATTGTTGCATAGGTACACACATGGCAGTGTGATTTGCTGCCTTCCTCCCCATCACCTACA